ACTGATAAAATGTAGGCTGTGATTTCAGGGTGAACTTTTTCATGCCCTTGCTATTGAGCCAATGCGGCATGTGATGCTATCTTCTGTAGCACGCCGGGGCTCTAGTGATAAGGCATTCGCTGTGTGATAGGCTATGATAAAGTGCCACAAGCAAGGACATCAGGAATCTGGAATCTCTTACACTGGACCAATGATGGCCATCAGGTAGGTGGTGCTTCAGTCTGTTCCGACAACAATGCCTTAGAAGCAGTTGGTATTTGCTTCTCATCATTCTCAAGGCAGTGGGAAATTTGGTGTCTAACAGGAGAGCCCCATGGAAGGTCATCTTCTAGAAAGATGTTTCGTCTCATACAGAAGGGGCCATGAACTGATTCCCTTAGTGAGGATTGTCCCCATGTAACCTAAGACCTTCAGAAAAGCTCTGCCCTTCAGATGCCCTTACTTTGGGGTCTTGGTTTTAACATATGAATTTTGAGGGAGCACAAACATTTAGTCTATAGCAGGTGACAAGGCATTGTCTCCTCATCTTTAGAAAAACTTGTCCCGCATCCAGATTACAAAGTAATTACATCAGGTATTTGTCCAATATTTTTTATAGTTTCCATTTAAATTTATGCTTCTGGTATATTTGGACTGGGCTGTTACAGTTTTCTCTGTTGATGTATGGTGAAAGATAGAGATCCATCTTTATCTTTTTTTCAAGTGGAATTCAATCACTCATCATTTATTTAAAAGTCCATATTTTCCCAAGTGATCTTAGATGTTCTGCAGTAATTCCCAGATGAATTTGGGTCTGTTTCTGCAGTTGCCATTCTTTTTTATTTAATCTATACATTTGTCTGTAACAGTGCTGTTATTAGAACTTACGGATTTTTAATAATTCACCTGAGTAGTCCTGACTAATTGCTTTTATTTTTCCGGATTTTCCTTCATATTATATGTTTGTTTTTTTCATATACAAATTAGAATAAACTTGCATAGCTCTAGGGAAAAGAACCTTTAATTATGAATCACATTATACTTACAGAATAAGTAGGCAAATTGACATCCTGTTGTATTGAATTGTTCTAGCTGAGAACAAATTATATTTTCCATTTGTTCAAGCCATTTTAAACATTTTAAAGCAGTATTTCATAGTTGTCTTAGTTTAGTTTTGGTACAGTTCCTGTTAAATATTTTATTTTTTCTGTTTCTGTATTCAATGACACTATATAATTTAAATAAAAAATATAGTTTGTATTTTTTTGTATATATGTTTATCTTAGAGAACTTGGTATTTATGATTTTTAGTCCTGATTCTCTGTCTCCTAGGTGTGATATTAAGAGCATAAAGGTATATAATTATTTTTCAGGTCTTATGTATACAGATCTTATTAGTTTATATCGCCAAATGCTACGCTAATTGGTAATGACTGTCCTAATGTATTTGTTTCTATTATATATGATGCCACTTTTTGATCTGAGGTATAAGATATTTCATCATTTGAGGATGTATCTCATAATTTTTTTTAAGATTTATTTATTTAT